TGCAGTCAGCTTGAATAGGTTGTGTGCTACACCGGGCAGGAAGATAACCTGAAGACACGTGGCACCCCTCACAAACAACCGTCCCTTGTGCCTGTGGGTTGGCAGTGGAGCCTGCTGTGTTCCTTTGCAGACCAGCAGTTTCCTGCTGGCTCATCCCTTCCCATTAAGTGCAGCAAAGTCAATATTTGACTTTCTCCGTGCTCCGGTGGGACACGTGGGCTGAGTGCAGTTGGTGGGAAGGACAACATGTAGGGGCTGGGCACCAAACGCCACGTGTTCTCCCTCGCCCTTTCCACCACCTCATTGACCTCACTGTCAGTAACACAGCACTTCTTGTGCTGCAGGGGCTGACTTACTTTGAGTCACAGCTCCTGAGAACACGGGGGCATTCAGGCTGACCTCAGTCCTCTGCTCTGCTGGTGAACCCAGAGTGAGGGGCACCCCCCCCTGCTCTCTGTCCATGTGCTGTACTGCAGCTAGCTTGTGATGGGTCAAGGCAAAGCTCCCAAAGACTGGGTTGAAGCAATGGTGAAGGAGCCCAGCTCTCCTTCACAGTGATGCTCTGCTTTCTAAGTGCCTGCAGCCCCATGGTGCTCATAATGACCAGTGCCAAGCGACTGAAGTGGGGAGCTTGGTATCTGGAGGCAGCACTTAAACCAGAAAAACACCAAGGAGATCACTGCAGATTTTTTTTTTATTTTTTTTTTTAACTTGCCCTTTTGGGAATAGCAGAGACTCAGGGCAGAACAGGCTACCAGGGAATGAAGTTCAGCTTCCTGCACTTAATGGTCACTTAATGGTCTTAATTCTGAGGTTGATCTTTGCTCAGGCAGAGCAGACACTTATTGCACATAATTTCTTAACAAAGGGAGTGCACAGCAGGGCCTGTCTGCTCCTGGAAAGTTAACTGTGCCGTACTGCTGCTCTGTGCTGAGGCTGCAGGCTTGAACAGGTACAGGCTGAGCTGGGGTCAGCAGTGAGTCAATGCTGATGTTCTTGCAACTCCCAAGGCAACACTTCAGCTTGCAGAGATTTTCACATTGGCTTTCTCTTTCCTTTTGTTCCTCTTACCAGAAGAAGGGGTGACGGCAGGAGGGCTGAGAGAGCAGAATGGTGTAAGAATTAAATTGTCCTGTATAGCCATCCTTCCAGCAGATGCCATGGTGCTGAGCTCTTCAGATGAGCAGAGCTGGAGTTAGGGAAGGGTGAGGGAGGAAAAAAAGAGATTTTCTGAAATGCTCATCTCCAGGCAGTCCAGCTCCACATTCAAATTTTCTAGTTTAAAAAAAGAAAAAGAAAAAAAGAAAAAAAAAAGCAGCTTTGGCCATCTGCCTATGTTTTTTGTTTGTTTGTTTGTTTTGTAGAAACTATTAAGTTCTGGAATGGGACAGTAACTGTGATGGAGCAATGAACAAAATGCTGAAGTAAATGAGAATGATGGATGGTTGTGGATTTTTGTTTGTTTGTTTGTACACTGATGGTGCTTTTCAAATTCAGTTAAATTGTCCTGTTAGTGTCATGCTCCTCCCTCCCCCTCTCCCTCTCTTTTTGTCAGGTGCCCACTTCCTATTTCCTGTTTATCCTCTTCACAGTCCATTCCTTCCACCACTGCTCTGACCCTTCATCCATCCCAATTTTTCAAGAAAGGTCTTTTCACTTCACCCAGGGCAAATACCTGCCTCCCAAAGCCTCAAAGAGGTTTTCATGCCCTTCTCTGAGGCTGTGGTTTCTTCCTTAGTTGGCTGTGCAGACAGAAGACCACCACCACCCCAAAACATTAGTGTACAGCAGCACTAGCTGCCTTTGGTGGCGGTACAGTTGCTATAGTCCAGGGAGGGCTGAAAAACCTGTTGGTGCTGTGAGCTGATTCTGACAGACAGGTCATAGCCTGCCAGAGCATCCTGCTCAAAAGTTTACCAGGCCAATCAACAAATAAAAAGACATGCTCCTAATATAAGGCATGAGCTGTCCTCTGACTTACTCTAGCACTGATGTATATCATGCAGCTCTGATTCAATGTGCCACAGCTGCCATGCTGCCTGTGTGCAGGCAGGAGGTGCTGAGATGAGCAGGCAGCTCCAGGCATGAGAGCGTAGCTCTGCTGAAGCTATCAGCACACACAGTGGAATCAAACTCAGACTTGGGGAGCAGCAGTAAGGGTTCTGCATGCTACAAACTGATGCCATTAATCATGTTTTCACTTGCCTCCTAGTTCTTGAGCTTTTTGTGCCAGTACTTTTAAAGTTTTCTTGGAAACTGAGAGCAAGAAACATCATTTTCTCAGTAGACAGCTCAGCTTGTTGTGTAATGATTTTGGGAGTCAGGACTTTGAGAGGAACACAAAGTATTGTCATACCTGCAGTGTAATCGTGGCACCTTGCAACATTTGTCTACTGCTTCCTCAGCAGCCACTTCCCAGTTCAGGGAGATGGATGTGTATTAGTTAAGCTTTTGAACAGAAACAATATTTCTTTCAACTAGCTCTAAACCTTATGTCTCCAAATTCCCTTGCGAAGTTTTGCAGCAGAAAATGGATTCAATAGCAACTGAATGGCTCCCTAAAAGTCACAGCTCTACACATAGACATGTTTCTGCTTTCAGAGAGTAAATCTTGCTTTATGGTGCTGCAATCTATGCTGCTGGTGAGACTGGCACTCTAATGTGAACGTGCTGTGAGGCTCTGTGCTTCCTGCTCACTCTGAGCACCAAGTTGTTCCCACCTCAGAAAAGCTCCTTTCGTCTTTATTTGCAAAGCTGCTGTTATCAGCAGTATACTTTGCTGGAAAGAAAGGTTTCTTCTAAGAATTAAAAATATACATAACCCTATGAAGGGTTTAATATATGTGAGTAGAATGCAGTGAAAGCTACCTAACTGGAAGTCCTACACTATACCTAGCAACTAGTGGAGATGCCATTTAGAAAAAGCAGAAGAGAGAAACTCCAGGAATACAAAATACAATAATGCTCAGCCACTTTCTCTGAGTTGGGTGGGGGAGATACTGCACATATCTCAGGACCTTCCTCTCCTTTAACTGACTCATGAATGACATGAAAAGCAAAGACCCTGGGAACGTGAAGTTATGAAAAGGGGTGGGAGAGAGGTGTTTGATGCTGGTCGTGCTAACAGAATCCCAGCAACAGTGTATTCATAAGCTCCACTGCTTCGTTTTTGTAGAGCATAAGGGGTTATGGTAGGAGCAGGGTCACTTGAACTTTGCTTTGTTTGCCCCAAACCCTCCCCAAGATTACATAGAACAGTAAAAAACAAAACAAACAAACAAATTAAGCAGCAATAACAAAAAACACCACTCCAGCAATTCCTAGAGGCTTTCAGCAGCCTAACCACAGATGTTCAGTGCTTCAGTGGGACCTTGTGCTTGGGGAGCAGTGCAGGCAGGAACTGCACCCTTTGATGTTGGACCTTGAACCCCTTTCATTCTCAGTGTAACTGTAACAGTGTTACAGCCTGCAAAGGTGCAGCGGCAAGTTCACACCAAGGGAGACTGGAAGCAGGTTTTCCCTCCTTCCTCCTGCGGCTGCCCCCAGCTTCCATCTGACCACATCAGAACAGCCACACCGCATCTGGCCGTGCATACCATCCCATCTCTGCAGCATGGGGAAAGCCTGGCTCCCCACCGCCTGCCCCTGCATCCCCTATTGCATCTACCGGGGAAAAAGCCTCTCAAACAAGCCAGGTACATTGCAAAGCCATTACAGCTTCTCATCCTACAGGGGACACAACATATGCGAGGCTGGTGATGATCAAAGGCCAGCAATGAGTCATCTCAAATCCAATGAATGATCATTAGTTGAGGGAAGAGATAATTAGATTGGCTTCACTATCTCGCTGTTATTCTTGGAGGAGTAATGGGGTTGTATTGTTGCTATTGAAGACTTTATTTGTTAGGAGTGACTCATTGGGTATGCGTCATAAATTATACTTGGGAAAAACTATCACTGCTCCATGTTGAGAGCTGAAAGTCCATTCAGTGTGTGCAGAAAATCCTGATGGTGTGTTGATGAGGATAGCATCACATGGTGAGCGGGCCCTTTCCCTTCACCTCACCTAAAGGGACACTGTCAAAGCTGGGTGTGCTCTTGCCACTGTGGACCTACCCCACTGCAGAAGTTGAAGGGAAAATAGCTTTTGACAAAGTGGGAGAGAATCAGAGGAACCAAATGCGGAGCCATGGTCTGCTAAAGTCCTGCAAGGACTTTGTAGCCCTCAAGAAGGAATGTGAACTGCTGCCCTGGGTCAGAGCTTCATGCTGCTCTGTTTTGGTAATAACCTACAGAGAGGTTTGGTCACAAAGCCAAGGCATTTGCAGTATCCAAAATCTGTCCCCAGATCTGAATTTTATAGTTGAGTTGGCTCATTTTTTATTTGAAAAAGATTGAGTGAACTTTTGTTCTTAGTTGACTGACTTTTATCCCATGAACTAGCAAATTTTAGCTGAACCAGGTCATCTGAAGAAACTTAGTGTTGTTGTTGATTTTTAAATATAATTCCTAATGTTTCTGCTTGCAGAACAGCTTAAGGTTTGGAAAGATAGAGACAATCAATAGTAAATGGGGAAAAATAATTGGTTGCATTTTCATGTTCTTTTTGCATATTGAAACCTAATTTTAGATTGCAGCTGAGGCTTAAGGTTTGTTGTTCATTTGCCCAGTCTGTTTTTCTTTCTTCCAATAGAGCAAACTTGGTCAAGCCATGCTTGCCCTTGAAAACTTAGTTCTGAGAAGTGCCCGGTGCAGGGTTAGTCAGAGTAATGAATGTAAACACTGTAAAGATTACTTATTTCCTTTGTTCTTTTAAGTTGGAATTTATTACAGCACTTGAAGAGTATCCTCTTGCCGTATAAAAACACAATTATGGAGACCTGATTCTCACCCTTCCTTCAGTGAAGGAGTGCTGCAGTGATGACAGGCTGGAAAGCAAGTGTGTCCCATATTGTGCCCTGGGTCAGCTGAGGTTTTTGCTCTGTGGTGTCTGCTTTCAGGTGGTGCATCCTGGACTTGATATTCCTGCTTTCTCATGAAAACAGCCTCTGGATAATCTCAAGACCTGAGCAGGTAGCAAAGGGCTTAATTCAGAAGGCAAAGGGAGCTGTGAGTCCCAGCTGTGAGTACCCCCCTGCTGCCCTCCCCATTGCCCCCAAAGCAGATCCATCTTTCCCATGAAGGTGCTCTTTGCCAGTGCTCAGTGCTGGAGACATTAAAAAAACCCTAGTAAATCAGAGTTTTACATCTCTTGGTATACTGTTATCATTATGCTAAGTGACTATGAAGTTCTAAAAGAATCTAGAAAAATCAGGCTTTTCAGCAAGTTATTTTTTTTTTTAAAGAGTAATTTTGTGATAGCTTGCCACTGCCTGACATACTGCATTATTTTTGGTAAGCCAGAAATCAGCTTGAAGACTGTTGTGGCTATAGAATTATTAAGACAACAATTTAGTTTTAGGAAATCCCCTTAAATCAAAGCTTAAGAGAGCCCAAAGCCCACCAGTGTGATTTTCTGGGATCCTTGTTGCCCAGGGCTTCCGTCAGTCAGTGACACTGGAAGCAGTGCAGCATCTCCCAGTTATCAGCCCAGCAGTGCAGAGGGGCTGGACTGGTGCAATGGAGGCAGAACCAGGCTCACAAAATGAGTTTGCCACAGAATTTCCCATTTCTTCCTTTCTCATCTCTGGACCTCTCTCTGGTTGCTTGCTTTCATGCCTCCCTGGTGATGGACTTCCCATATGGCACACAAAGAGGCATTTCCTCTTTTATTTTTTTTTTTCTTCTTCCTAACCCTTATACTAGCAAAGGCATGTATTTGTTTCTCCAAAGAAGCAACCATAGAGACCTGAACCTTCAGAGAATGGGAGGGGAATTTGTTAAAAACAAAGGAAGACTGCAGGTGTAAAATGTTTGTCATGCTAACACCTGAACAAACATATCACTGTGCCCTTGCTTATCTCCTTCCTACTCACTGCCTTTATTGAGTTCAGTGTCTTGCTAACTGCAGACACATTAATCAGGCATTTAGATTAGAACAAAGTCACTGCCTCTGTGCTGCCTTATCTAGACCATATAAATGTGTCATTATATAGATCTGGGCCAGGCTGGAGGGTTTCTTATACCTTTGTGATGACCGAGCTGCTCAGTACTGCTTGTTTACTTGAATTCCCTTTGCCTTAAAGGGGAATCCAGCCTCCTTGCAGAGAGTATGATATTCACTGTTGCAGTTTCTCTCCTATAGTCCCACCTATAGAAATAAAAATATAGCTTTTTTTTTTTCCTGGTCCACTTTCATTTCTTTATTTTCAGCACTTTTCCACAAATAACCGTTTGCATCCAGGTTGATGTAGGTTTACATCCAGGTTGATGTAGGTTGGATATTAGGAAACACTTTGAAAGAGTGGTGAGGCAATGGCACAGGCTGTCCATGGAGGTGGTGGGGTCATGATGCCTAGAGGTGTTCAGGAAGGTGTAAATGTGGCACTGAGGAACAGGGTTAATGGGCAATATTGGTGACAGGTTGGTGGTTGGACTAGATGATCTTAGAGGATGTTTCCAACCTTAATGATTCTGTGATTCTCTGATTTGAAGATCCCGTACCATTTGCAGCCCATAGGTGCACTAGTGGTGGGGTTTTGCCACGGTCAAATATTTACCTGTGATTTCTGCTTCTTTGTGCTTGTTAGTTCTTGGTTTGTTACTGGGTTCCCCCTCCTCTGCCCACTTGCCAGCCCTTCTGTGAGAAGATGAAGGTGCCCCTGATGCGTGGCTTGCAGAGGGGCAGGAGCCAGCGTGGGGAAGAAGACAGCCTGGCCTCTGCGGAGGACCTGGCACTGCAGCCAAGGACAGTGCTGCTACCCTGGCAGCTTTTACATGTTGGGCAGGTCTAAACCCAAACCGAGCTGCAGTGAACCACCCTGATGGCATGGTTGTGGGGGAGGAGGAGGAAGGGAAGGCCTCAGTATGGACAGCACCATATTGCCCTCACTGTAGGACGCAGAGTAGTCATGCCTCTTCTCTGCCACTTTTATCCCATGTCCACCACAGGAACCGTGAGGCCATGATGTGGGTCTGGCACTTTCTCCCAGTGCTTGCTCTCTGTCCGTAAGGTGTTGTGTGCCCTGGAGGCCGTGGAAGGGAGCTTCTCTTTACAGGAACAAAATATGAACCTGTTTTCACACATATTCAGAAAACAAGATCTCTCATTTTCTACATATACTCAAAGCCCCAAATCTCTCACTTTCCTTTCCTCTTTCACAATTTGACAATAGTAGACAAAACTCTATGCAAACTGGAGCTTTGTGAGTGTCACTGTGTCTGCCTGGTGTGCTAAAAGCATATTCTTTGGTTAGTGGGCATTCAGAACACAAGATGCTTACATGATAAAATGAGTTGTGAGCACCATGGCAGCAGCAGATTGCTGTGCTGTAGCTGGGTTTGCTGGTCCCTGGGTATCAGAATACCTGTGGAGGACCTGCCCTGGTTTTCAGTCCCTCCTTTTCCCTTCCTTGTTCTGTTTCTGGATCTTTAAAATTAGAGGTGGACTAATGGTGTGAGAACTGGATGTCCTTGTGCTTTGGAGAGCTCTGAGTCACAGTTGAACGCAGGAATGAATGACATGGCTAAGTAAAGGGGATGGGGCCATGAGTCTGTGCAGGAAGAGTCTCACTTTTTAAAAACAGCCAAGAAATATGCAGAAAAATCCTTACAGTTCAATGCATAGATTAATACTTATGTACAGCATATGTGGTTACAGTATTCATAATCAAAATAAATATGTTTACCAATTCCACAAATCTCCATAAAGCCTTCTTTCTCTTTCACACATAATGTAATTCTCCAAAGGCTTGAAAATGTGCATGCTGAGTCCCTAATGCTCATTTTATTTGCTGACTTCCAGCGTCTCAGCATAGACATTTTAACTTCAACAGATCATCTCAGCAGGAACTCTTACCAGGATTTCTGAGGCTTGCAACCATATTCACAGCATCTAGTAGAAAGATTCCCAAGTCTCCAGAGGCATCCCTGCTTAAAACCATATTTGCTTTCCTGGCAGTTTCCTCTGAGAGCCTTTGAGCGTTGGGAACAGTGTTAATCTTTTCTCTCCCCATTGCTACAGCTCCAGCAGACGCTGAGTCTCCTGTGTTTGTGCTCACCGTTCTGCCAGGGAATCTGGTGTGCCATGAAAAGGACTGGAATTATTATGACAAAAGGTCCCTCCATCCTTTGTATCAGGAACCTCTTTTGCTCTAGGAAATGTCTGTGTTTCTGAAAATGGGTTAGCAGTAATGTTGCAAGCAAACTGCTTTCTAAAGGGAACTCCCCTGTTTTGTTAGAGGCAGAACACTGAAACAGATGCATCGTGTCTGGCAAATTTTGTAGTGCTAATTTCTATCATGACAGTGATTTTCTTTAAGTGACTGGCTGGGATAAAATAGGATTGGAATGTATCAGCTGAACTGTGAAATGCAAAGGAAAGTTCTGTCCTTGCTGCAGATGAGATGTGGGCTCCTGGCTCCTTGGTGGACTTTCTCCTCTATACTTGAATGGATGGTGTGCTACAGGTCTATGCAGTATATAGGGCAGCCATGGGAGATGTACCCCAAAATGATCCCAGAGTCAGAGTGCTGCTAATGGCTCTGTAAACTTTGAGAACATCCCTGCAAGTGCAAGTAGCAAGCAGGTCTCCAGAATAACTTTGGCCAAGTGTTCATTGCAATGCAGTGCGTACAGTAGATATTTTTGCTTGTCTGCCTAATCGACTTCTCTTGCAGGTTTTTGCCTTTTAAGTTCGCACTTGAGTGGCATTCATGAAGGGTAAGGTTGTCAGTTTTCCTGTGAAGTCTGAGTGAGGGTGATGCTGTCACTGCTTCTCTAATGGCTGTGTGCTGAAAACAAGTTTTAATGCCTCCAGAGCAAGGATCTCAAAGCTCTTTGTGAACAGGACATCATTTAGCCTCTGAAATGCCAAGTCTGGCAATTTTGGGCTTATTTGTAGTGGAAAGAGGATGTTACAGGAAAACCCCACATCCGCCTCAGACATCAACACTACGTAACCAGCCCTCCCTGGTGCTGTGGAGGAGACTGGGGTTTGTGAACCCAAAAGGCTCCATTACCTGACTCGAAAATCCCTCCTTTCAGGTGGCTGTCACCTTGTGCTTTCAACTCTGTGATTTGCATGAAAGGATCTCATAGTGCTGTCAAAACAGCTAAGTCCTCGCATCCTGTACCATGCCACAAACTACTGAATATCAAATATATTCCAGTGCAGCACACGCTGTTACCTCCTTTGGGAAACTGATCAATATCCCCTCTCCCGTGCAGCTCTGCAGCCGCTAGCAGCAGACAGGCTGTTAGGTGTAGGCTTCTTGGGCTGATTCTAGCTGGGAGTGGCACTTTTCCCCTGGAAGCTTTCCCTGCCTCACATCACACTGTGAAAGCTGCTTGCTGGCATGGCACTTTCTCCTCCTTGCTACTATTTCCCCTCTGCTGGCTGTGTAGCCTTCAAAGCATCAGTTTGATATTGAATTAGCATGCTGCCCATGGTGAGTGAGCAAAATGATGTAGGGGATAGCTTGCCATCTAGCATTATGCAAGGCACCCATCTGCAGCCTGACAGATTTTGGGGAAGTGGGTGGGCAGTGGTGAGATGTCAGGGCTGCTGTTTGTCATGGCCCCAGGTGATGGAGATGGGGCAGATGAAGGAACAATGGCATTGCCTTGCTAGCTCTGTTGAAACCATCTTCATTCTCCAGCAAGATGTGTGTTGTTTTCAGTCACTCCTTGGCCAGAGGGTTTCCCACAAGCTCCACCTCTTGTAATGAGTCTTGGTTCAAAATGAACATTTCTATTTAAAATAAAAAAGGGTGGAGAAATGTCAAGTCATGAGTGCAGTGAATAAATATTTAACAATATGAGGAGGTGTGCATCATCCTGACATCAAATAAATCTTTAGAGTGCCCTGCAAATCTGTGAGGGGCGAATGAACCACCTATTTTAAACCACCTGAGTTTATATCTCTACAGTGAGATGATTTGTGAACCGATCAATGAGCTCTAAAATGTATGTCCTTTAGTCTCTGAACTCCTCCCTGCCCCGAAGAGCTGTATCTCCATGTGT